AGAAAGGGCCTTTTTTTGCCTTTTCTCCGTGTGTGTACAGTGTATACACAGTGTGTGTGTTAAGTGACTTTCCGCTCACACTTTTACTTGAGGCGAGGAGTGCATTAAAAACACACAAGCACTCAAGCACACTGCACTGAAATCCACACACACACACATACATATACATACAGCCTCTCTCCACCCCTCTACTTATAAACAAAGCTTCCTAAGGACAGGAAATCCTTCCACCCACGTTCCTGTGTTGCTCGGCAACCAGAGCAGCGTCACCGTGTGCATGTCTCCACCGCTGAAGACAACACACGAAGACGGAGACACGCAGAAACAGCAACTCCTTGAACTCCTTTGAAATGTACAGATAGCCACGCCAAAGTAAAAAAAAATACTAATACTCGACACAGCTGCCCTCCCATTCGTCAGCTATGGACCTAAACCAAACATGACATCACTGCTTGTAAATATAAAACCCTTTTCCCCTCCGTTTATTAAGTCTATTTTTACACCCGCTGACGTCTTTCCATATTGCTACTCTGTATGTGTATTTGTGTGAACGTGTGAGAATGCGCGCAGCAATAGCTCAGCATGAATCAGTACAGAGAGGCTAATTGAGCCGAGGTGCCCATCACTGTGGACAATGAATCCATTCTGAATCAGCAGGAGGCCTATTGAAGACAATTATAACCTGGGGGATTCATGAGAGCATTATTCTTCTAAGCCATTTTGGCCACTCAGGCTGGCTGTGTTGTCACTGCTATTTAAAACCTCGCTTTTAATTCTTCGGTTCTTTTAACATATGAACCAGCACATGAAAGGCGAAGGTCATCTAAGAAAAGATGGAAAATAAATAATCAACTACTGCAAACTCAGTAATCCACTTTTCTAATTTTGGGAAACCAAACAGAAAGTGGCACAAAATGTGTAAAACAGCATGATCTGGGTCCAAAAGTCACTGTCTGTTACAGCTGGTAAGTAACCCTAACCCTAAAGACATCATATACCTCATTCACACCAACGGTGTTTCAGGGCCAGTTCGGAGCTGGAGCTTGAAAAGCAACAGGTTTTCCTTTTCACACTGGTTCGTTTCAAGCACCAAAAAATTGTCCGGCTAGAGCAAAAGCACCGCATACGTAACGCTTACGTCGAGGCGGGGGTAGGGGCAGGGGCGGGATCAACTTCTGAACAACAACAAAAAGCGCACGTTTTATCCAGTTTGTACACAACGATGGAGAAACTTAACAAGCAGCAGTGGTCCACTGAAGAGACCAGCTACCTACTGGGAATCTGTTCTTCCGAAGAGGTATAGAGGACGCTGTAGCACAATATCGGCCCATTTGTTGTTGTTGTCGGTGTCAGCTGTGAGGGGTTTACGCGCGTTTGGCTTTATTAAGCAGGCACGCAAACAGTTACGTCATGACGCAAACGATGACGCAGCACCAGTCGGACTCTGGGCAGTGTGAAAAGAGCCGGAGCTAAACCGAAGAACCGGTTCTGAACCTGAAAAGCTCTAGCAGGGAACTTGAACCGGAGTTGCGTTGGTGTGAATGAGGTATTAGTCTATTTGTGTTGCCTATTCTTCAAATGTCAGTTCAGCTTACTGTAAATGTTTAGAAAGTCAACACAGGTCACACTTAATTTAAAAAAGTGAGCAATTAAAAAATGGGTATGTTAGGGCGTTGATGGTCCCTTAATGCAGCTCACGAAGGGGTTAAATATTGGGCATTTTAGAGCCATAGTTAAATCAATTTGATTCGGGACAATTTGGTTAAGATGCATTAGCTGTTAAAAGAAATGTCACAAATAAAAAAAAGCCTCCTGGAGTCTTAGTGGGTAAAGATGCATAGAACCGCAACGGCACTTGTTCAATTGCAGCAGTTGTTCTCCTAAACCCCTGACTTACAAAGCATGAACTACAAAGTAAGGGTCACATGGGCAACCATGCGCAAACTACCGCTAACGAGCTAACCAGATAGCATGTTTATTGCTGAATCACTATTATTGGTAGACTGGTTCCAGACCTCCCGATTGGTTCATAAATTCAAAAAGGTCTGTTGTTGTTCGGTCCACCTATCAGAGCTTTGTAGTCTTTATTTAACTTATCATTATGAAGTAAATGTTCAGCGCTGTAGAGTAATGACGCCATTAGCATTTTTCTTTAAGACATGATCTATCTTCGCAATTCTGTCGGACATAATGTACGATATCTCGGGGAAATTAAGGCTTGATTTATGGTACGAAGGTACCATAATGCAAAGTGCGCCAACCATTGCTCAAGCTAAACAGGAAGAGGTTATGTTATTGTTGTTCCTTGTAGCAATTGGTAGCATTGACCAGTTACCAAATCCCCAGTATTGGATATGGTTAGATGTAAACTGTCATCCCCTGTGCAGTTTTGTCCACTCCTTAAAAAAATAAAAGTAGATAGTCTAAATAAGTCCAAACAAGTTGCTATATTTGTCACAGCTACCATCAGCACTAACTTTAATACCAATTAGAAATGTGATGGAGGGAAAAATGAAAAGTTAGACAAGACTTTCAAATGAATTATCTATATTATTTAGTGACCATGGGAAATAAACCCATGGCAACATTATCGGCAGCACCATGAGGTACTAACAGAATATGAATCAGTGGATGCATCTTGACATCGCTGCAGCTTTGGTAAACAACTTATTGAACTATTTGACCATATATACAAATTAACAACACGATGAAGCTTTTAGCAGTGACATGCCAAGATACAAAACCCTTTGTCCTCTTTTCAGTGAGTAAACAATCCACAAAGGCCAAATCGTAGGTGCTCGTCTATAAAAGGAAACGAAGATATTTGCATCTCTTTTGCTGATAAGGTGCACTTCTGTAGTGTTTACTTCTTAGAACTACATGAAGTCTGGCGGTACACTTTTTTTTCCTGACTTTGTAGGGCTGCTCGATTATGGTAAAAATCATAATCTCGATTATTCGGGTCAATAACTGTAATTGCGATTATTAATTGACTTTGAAAATATCCATTTATTGGAGAGAAAAAAATGTGAACAGTATGTTTTTAACAGTTGATTACCCTGAACGTTAAGTATAATTCAACTGAAAACCCCCCAAAAAAAAAAAAAAAGAAATAATAAAAACCAATAATAAAAAATAAAAATAAATTAATAATAAAAAAATAATCGTTTTATTTCGATTACGTTGTTTTCGTAATCGTTGCAAGCCATAATCGCGATTAAAATACGATTAATTGAGCAGCCCTATGACTGTGCATGTTCTGCCATATGGCTCCTGGGGCCACAGCTGACCAAAGCACAGCAGTGGGTCATCGTGTAGCTCCAGGCACGGCTAATACAATCAGAACTATTTAAAAAAGAGGCGCTTTAGAGTATTTACGCTGAATAAATCATGCGCTGACATCTGTGCTTTTATTCAAAACACAGACTGTTCAATGCATTCACACATGAATCATCCATTATGGACTGTTTGGGTTGTGTTCAGGGAATCCGACTAACAACAGTTGTTCCGAGCGCACTAACCCATCCATACCAATTATCTGTGTCCAGGGTGGAGTCTGAATTCAATATTCAATTTACACAATTCAATCTCACATCAGAGCCTCAAAGCTGGAATAAGAAGTGGCGTCTATGGGGCCGGACAAAAACAGAGCGGGGTCCTCGGAGAATCACAACTGTCTCCAAAGTGAAAAAGAAGCGGGCTAACTGAACGCCAAACCACAGGGGTGTCCATTGAGAGACAGGGAGAGGTGGAGGGGCGAGAACTCCATTGAGCGCAGCCATGGGGGGTCAACATGTGAATGAACGTTTGGCATGGAGGTGAATTATGAATGAGCAGCACTCTGAGCGCTCCTGGAGAGAGCCCCCGTCTCCTCCACTTCCCTCCCATCTCTCCTCCTCCTTCCTGTCCTAAAAACCTCCATCTTCCTCTCTTCCGTCTCGGTTTCATCCCTCGCTACTGGATTGATCTCCTCATCTGCCTTATTCTCCGTCATCTGATCGCTCGTCCTCCCTACAGCCTCCCCCCTTTACTTAACCCTTCTTCATCTCCAGACCAGGAGGAAGGGCAGAGGTAGACACACACGCCGTCTGTCTGAAGAGACGACAGAACATTTGTTTCCCTGCACATACATATTTACACAGCCTCAGATGGCTACACACACATTTTTGAGACACACACACACACACGGGAGCAAAATATAATATAGAAGCAAACAGTCCTGCACGTGCAAAGGCCGCCGCATGCATTAAGTGAAAGGCTCTCAGGCACTGACACACACATTTCTCCCAGCTGTTATGCTGGCCACATAGTGAGTGTGTGTGTGTGTGTGTGTGTGTGTGTGTGTGTGTGTGTGTAATCCAATGTGCTGCTGCTCAGCCTGTGCCACGCTCTCTCCTCTGTTGCTGTGCGTCTGATCAGATCTGCCTCCCCTCAACCTGTTTGCCGTATATGGCACACATGCACGCGCACCCTTACACACATATATCACACACACAAGGAGCTGCTACTACGTATCAAGCTTCATTCAGTGTCAACCAGGAACACAGAAAATCCACTCTGTGCTGCTGAAGCAACCTCCAACCAGAAATTGTGTCAGAAAACTCTGCTCACACACACACAGTGGAGGAAAAATGGGATTTAACTTCAAGTAGCCTGCCTAAGAAGTGTGTGAGTGTGTGCTGGAATGGGATCAGTGTGTTCCTTAAAAAGTATCCACTCCTTTAGATCCCTTCACTCCAGTTCACAGCGGTCAGCTCGGCTCGCTTACACACTTTGGTCCCCTTTATAGCTGGTGGAAAAACAACCCGAAAAACTCTCACAAATGTATTTTTAGGCTAAACAGACACTTACTCACACACATTTTTGCCCACCCCTCACACAGACACACACCTCTTCTCTCCCCTTTAAGTGCAGAGCCAAGGAGCACGTGTCAACACCCCGCACACACACCTTCTCCAGACCCTGCATACGATACAGCCAAGAAAGACCCATAAAGTCACCTTAGGATCTTTCTGTGTTCCAGACGAGCCCCTTCTTCACTGTCTTCCTCTCCTCTGTCAGACTTCTCTCCTCCTCTCCTTCCGTCCTTCCTTCCTTCCTTCTTTCCGTCCGTCCGTCCTCTTTTCTCTCTTTCCCTATGTTTCGTCTCGGTTCTCGGTCAGTTCCCAGCGTTTCTCCCGAGCCCCTCCATATCCGCCCCGCCAGTCGTTTCTACCACCGAGCGAGCGTACCTTCACACACAAACACACACGCGCACACACACACGAGCCGCTGCGTTCCTATAGTCTCTCCCTCTGTTTATCCCCTCTCTCCCCTCTGTCGGAGAAGAGCTCGCAGAGTGTGTGTGAGTGCGTGTTTGTGTATGCTTGTGTGCGGGGACGTGTGTGTTTCTGTGCTCTGCCTTGCCCCGCCAGCAGCAGAGAGACGACTTCCCCCGGAGCCCGCCCCGGGTCCTAGCTCCGGTCAGGTTCACTGAAAGAATGCCATTGTGTATGGAAGGTATAAACAAAGATCGTCTATGGTTTTGACAACACGATGCACACATTTTTGGACTTATTTTTCATCTTTGATTTTGTTCCTATAACCTTATCATACCAACAAGCTTTACATATATTATAATTATAATAAATACATTACACAATACTGTTAACATGGCTGTACAATTTAGAATTGAATTGAAGAGAAAAAAAGGGGCTGTTCATTTCATATTTAGAAATAATAGCCTACAAAATATTTGAAGAAGAGACTTGTCTTCAACAAAGTCTGTTTTGGAGTAGTACACACACACACACACACACACACACACACACACACACACACACACACACACACACACACACACACACACACACACACACACACACACACACACACACAC